CACGTTGATTTTTTACATCAGTAATACCACTTGCGTGTAAGTTATACCTTCAAAGCAATTGAAATGATCGTTTTGGTTGTTAATTGGTTTTACTGCAGTCTGTTCCTCTCGAGCGATAGCCAAGATATACGGTACGCAGTCACCAACTGTTCCTGTTGGTGACCTCAGCATGAACGAAGGTGAGCGATAAAATCGATAATTCATTCAATTGTTCACAGTTGCCTAGTTAACAGACGTAAGTGATCACTTTATCACAGCAGAAATATCCCCCCCCCTGAGATAAACTCGACAGACGAGCTCTAAGGCTGCTATATGAGTGCGCATTCCATTGGAAGGGAAAATGTATCGGGGGTCCATCTCCAAACCTTGCCTTGGCCAAGTTTACGTGGGGCACAGCACGGAAGTGCTATTGAAAGGCAGTTCGTGGAAGGATTTATAGCGCGCAGATGTTTGTGTTGTATTGCCACAGAGCTCAACGTTGCAAAGTTTCAAGAGAATCAATATGGTGATTTGAAATCCACATGTTTTTTTCGAGCAAACATTGGCTTTTGTGGGCAATAAACGTACCGCAATTGTGTGATTACCTGCTTCGTGAAAGTAGGCATTACGTGTTCTCCAAACATTCCTGCTCAACGTTTGAAATCAACACATCTCGTCAAAGAGTGCTGGCAAGATGACCCGTTACATTGTACCAATTTCAAAAATTTTACGACCCCCCTTAAAGGGTTATGGAAGGTGGAGGCAAGTGGACCGCTTACCACGCGAGCGCTCCAAGGATGAAATCCTGGGTCGTGATTCGCCCGGGCCAGCCAAGCCTTCCATCCCTGCGGGCAGGGTCAACCCTACGTTGGTACAAGTACCAACGGGGGGGTCGTACTTGGTTTAGCTTGGAGGGGGGGTCGTACTATCTCGCTGGTCGGCGGATTTCTACTAATCGCCCTACTGATAATAGATGCTGGTACGGAAGGAAAGAGCAATTGGAAGTTGTTTACGCAAGAAAATTGATAGTAGAGCATCTGTAAGCCAGTTCCTTCTAAATGAGCTTCAATCGAATCAGCGAATCAGAAGCGCGGCCGAGGCATGGCGCACACCAAGGCAGGGTATGCCACTGCAAGCGCATGCTCGAAGCATTCTAACACATCCTACGATATTGTTTTCCCTGGAGGTTGCGGCCTGTGAAACCTAAAAAAACCCACGTTCTTAAGAAAATGGACTTGAAGAATGCCCCTTCAAAAAAAGTCCCAACGGGACTAATTTTTGAACTACTGATTTTCAGAAATGTTGGGTGCTTGTTAGAAAGCTTGAATCCTGTAGTTTCTCATACCGTGTTCAGCTTCCCAAATGAATGAGTTTGAACAAAGTTATGATCGTTTGAAGGTGAAAAGTCGCGGTTTCAGAAAAATAGTAACGCAAACCCCCAAAAAAGTAACAACGGGACTAATTTTTGAACTACTGACTTTTCAGGAACGCTTGGGTGCTTGTTAGAAAGCTTGAATCCTGTAGTTTCTCATACCGTGTTCAGCTTCCCAAATAAATGAGTTTGAACAAAGTTATGATCTTAGTATGGTGCTGTCCCGAAGCCTCATAAAGATCTGAATGTTAAACAACAATTAGAGGCTCCAAAATTTATTTCAAAAGCTTCAAAACACTTAATTTCGAAAGCTTTCCAAAAACTTGCAATATTTCGGTGCTTAGCACCTTCGTCAGGCCTGAAATAGCTTTTCTCACACAAGCGGACAATATACGGGATATATTGAAACAACTCACACGCGTTCGCCTCAGTACAGCTTCCAAACTTACCCAACGAAAATTAGGGTAACCTACCCCGCTCGCGCCCTTAAATAGTAGGAATGCCATGCAACGGTCAAAATGCATGATACTATGTGACAATTTGAAGGATGTCACGTAGCTCTTCCTTGCTGTTTATTTCGGGTGCTAATCGTTTTATCTCAAGGGCTTCCAATATTTTCCTTTCTGCTGTGTTCTCTATGTTATGTTATGTTCGTCAAAAGTTATCATCGTTCAAAAGGATGAAAAGTCGCGGTTTCAGAAAAATAGTAACGCAAACCCCCCAAAAAAGTAACAACGGGACTAATTTTTGAACTACTGATCTTTCAGGAACGCTTGGGTGCTCGTTAGAAAGCTTGAATCCTGTAGTTTATTATACGTGTTCAGCTTCCCAAATGAATGACTTTGAAGGAAGTTATGATCGTTTGAAGGTCAAAAAGTCGCTTTGCACAGAAAAAAGTAACAACGTGCTAAATTTTTATTAAATTAACTTTCGAAGAATTTTAGACATGATTGGAGAGAGAATATTTGAATTTTTCAAATCAAATCACTTCGGCGCAAAAGCTTGAATATGAAGAAAGTTATAGCCCTAGAAAGAGGAAGGTAAAAATTGTAGTGCAATTTCATTTCTTGCTTAATAACTTAATTATTTCAGATTGTTTAAGAACAAATCCGCTCTACTTAAGAAGGATGAGCCTCGGTGATCCAAAATCCACCTCCGTCTTCCGAGGAACCTGAAAATTTAAGAGGAAAAATTTGTTTACATTTCAATATCCCCTTCGTCACCAGTAATCGATCAGCAAACGCGCCCCATTGCCACGACCATTGCCAGGGCGCGATCCACCACATTCGAAACGATCAATACGCGTTTCCACTTCTTTTGGTTTCGTTCACTTTGTTGTTCCACTTTTACCCTTTTTTTACTTTCCTTATCATTGCGTTCGTCGACCATCGTTCGTATGACCCTCGTTTCGTCGGGTCTCTTCCGGTAAGGACTGGGATGCGGTGCGACAGTCACATCGGATGAAGTAATCCCTTTTTTGGAGGGGAGTGAAGCTCAGGGGTGGATGTGAAGCTTGAGCGAAGGGAGGGAGGGAAGCTCAGGGGTGGGTGTAAAAGTTTGAGCGAAATGGTTTACGCTTCCTTTCCCGAGGGAGCGTGAACCATTCGCACAAATTTTTACACCCACCTCTGAGCTTCCCTCCCCTCCAAAAAAGGGATTACGCAGTATGCGTTCTACTTCATTCTTAACCAAGCGCAAAATGAAACGAAAATTTATTGTTTTCCAAGCGGAAAATGAAGTGAAAATTTATTGAAATGAGTTGAAGAAGAGTAAAAAATAAAAATGAGTGCATGAATTGTAGTATTACACAGTATTTATCAAGTATTACACACAGGGGGGGGGTCGTATCAATTCGCCCATGAAGGGGGGGTCGTAAAAAATTTCCAAATAGTACCAACGATAGGGTTGACCCTGCCTCCGGGGTCGGTTAATTGGTACCAGACTTGTCTGGGAGGATAAAAACACTGACTTGTACATCGGCTGGCCCCCGCAAGTCATTGTATAGGCCACATCGCATTCAAACGCCACTACGAATGTACAAATGGAAGTAGAATGCGTGCCGCATCCCAAAAAGGGATTGATCAACGGCAAATGCTTTATCCTTTATCCTTTTACCCTCTTAGAGAGTCTCCCATCGATCCCCTCCCCCAGCAAGGGTCAAGCGAGGGTTGAGGAACCCTCGACATGTCGAGAGGGGGGGTCGTATTGACCTGCTGGAAGGGGAAAAGGAAGAGAAGGAAGGAGAGAATGGAGAGATCGGACCGAATCGATGTAGTCGGATCATCACTGTCGGAAGACAAACGTAAAGGATGCGATGCCAGGCCAGAGGATTTCCAATAACAATGTTATTCCGCCCACAAAATTTTCGTGATTCAGAGGTGTCCGCGTAGTAATTCTTAGTTACTTCAGTGTTTTATCACCACACAAGTTAAAGAATCCGAAATTTTTCAAGGGATATTTTATCTTTCAAGTGAGTCCTCGGAAGGATGTGAAGCACACGGCGCATCCCAGAGTGGGCCCAGTTAGTTGCGCGCGCTTCAACCACGGCTGAACATATAAGAGAAAAGGCTGAGACTCGCCAAACAATTTTACACTTGTTGGAAAGAAAAAAGCACGAGGATTCCGAATCTGCTCCTACTTTAGTACATAATCGCCCCTGAAAGGAGCTATAGTCGTTGAAATAGTGCCAATGCAGCGAAAAAGTACCTTTCGGCGGTACTCGGGCAAAAATCCTCAACGTGGCCATTTTTTAAATACTGGACGTATTAGCAGTTTTAAACCAATAGAGCAAATCTTCTAGTTTATGATGACGTATTAACTTTCCAGATTGATGAGTTTGAACGGAGTTATGGCTTTGGAAAGCGTAAAAACTCGCACTCATCACGAATTTTCCTCGTTAATTTTGCAAAAATCCTCAACGTGGCCATTTTTTAAGTACTGGACGTATGAAGCTGCTTTAGCAACCGTTTGATAGAGAAAATCTTCTAGTTTTGTCTGCCATATTAACTTTTTGAATTTGACGAAAATGAAGCAAGTTATTGCTTCGGAAAGTGTAAAAACTCGTGCTCATCTCGAATTTTCCTCGTTAATTGATCTAAATTTGTTATTTCTTATAACTTTTTGTAATTTCAATACTGATTAGAAAAAGCTCTTCACAAAACTTCCAAATCTGCTTTCAGATTGAAAATTCGTCATATTTGAAGAAAGTTATAATCATTTGAATATTGTTCAAATTTAATAGTAGATTTATTTATTTATTTACTTATTTATTTATTGCATGCTTAGATGCGCTATTACCTAAATACACACAGATCAGTATCACAGAAACACTGTGAAAACAGACCATTTCAAAAGCAGGTGAAAAGTCCTCCACCTGAAGTGAAGACAGTGAATATTGTCCACTAGACCACCGATATAAAAGCCTTATTCGAGCTCAGCCTTGAGTTAGAGCTAAGCCAATTACAGTCAACTACAGTCAAAAGTCAATGGCGGATGGCGCTAGGGAGAACGCCACTCCTAGACAAGAAGACGTGTGAGGAATCAGAAACTGAATTTTCGGATGTTAGGTATTCCCTACCCCTAACAATTCAGCTTCTGACCCGCCTAGAGGACATCAAACATCCGAAAAAAAGAAACTCTGAAGGCATTTATGTGGTTTAGTGAATTGCTTCTAGTGGCAGTCACAGCAGAACTTGCGGAGATCCATTCACAAACTTCTGAGGAAAAAACCGTGAATTTTGTAACACAAGTAACAAACAAAAGAAAACAATAGAGAAAAAAAAGTGATCAAGATCGAATTAGCGGCTATTTCTCTTCCGATCGACGAAGCTCTTTTTCTGCGAAGACGTAGTATGCTGCAATTTCAACATTTTTTTTTTGCAATGTGTGTAACGCATTACTCTACCAGGTTGAAGGCAAAGTGCAACTGAATGTAAATCGATAAAAATCGTCACACTGGAAAGGAATACTAGCTCCAGAGGCGAAAAGGGCAATGACTTACCCTAAACGGTGAGTAGAAATTGCTG